TGTCCAAGACATTAAAAGCTGCCATGGTTCGCCACGCGCCGTATTTATTTTCCTGTTGTTTTTCTTCGCATTACCTGTATTCTATTTTGCAAGAATCATGACAATAAATATAAAACGAACTGAAGATGATGTAATGAGATTTTGTTTGATATAATACACGACAGTTGGTAAAATAAAACAAATAAAATAATACACAGAATAAATGCGCGAGAGGTACCATTGTGCAGTGAAGCTTGTGAAGGTGCGAATACTTCCCTGATTAAATGGATTCTACGGACATGTATAGATACAAACACGTCTCTTGCACAAATACGTGGCTATTATCGCCTTTTAAAAACACACATGCGTTTAAATTTGTTGGAACTACTATATTGACAATGTGTTACCGGCACAACCAAAATTGTTGATGTGGTTAACCTTGAGTTACTCAACTGTTGCAGCAGTTACCGATCTTCATTTAATTCTTCGATTTTTTCCGTGACTGTGATCACTTATATATCGTGACTCTTACCTCTTTCCATTGAGAATAAGAATCGGCACTATATAAGGTGAATGATATAATCCTGTTGATAACTGCACTTCAGCAACGGATTAGCAACGAAATAGTATTCGGCAACTGACTGCGACGTATATATAAAGGAGACTGGACCTGGAGTGCCAATCAACAGCCACACACCTTCGGGAACATAATACAATTCTTATCTCTATCAAAGGTATGTAATAAAATATATATATGTATACATATACATGCAATATATTATTATTTTTTGTTTATATATATACATGTATGTGTATATATAAAAAAAAAAAAAAATATATATATATATATATATATATATATATATATATATATGTAGGTGTGTACGTGATATGTATATGAATGTTTATCTCTATCAAAGGTATGTAATAAAATATATATATGTATACATATACATGCAATATATTATTTTTTTTGTTTATATATATACATGTATGTGTATATATAAATATATATATATATATATATATATATATATGTAGGTGTGTACGTGATATATATATGAATATGTTTATATGTAAAAAACATATCACGATCTTTAACATATATGTGAATATATATGAATATATTCAATCATATATGTGTAAGTGTATAGATGTATATATATAGTTACATATATGTAAATGTATAACACATATTGTGTGTGACGATTCTTGTCTTCTCTATTCTTATTGTGCCAATGCATGTTTCTTCATTTTCCGATCATAAATGCGTAACATTTAGATTGCTGGAGCCGAAAAAAGAGGGAATGATTTAGTAAGCATTTTTTTCTCATCCCCGACGCAGGCGTATCTGAGCATCTGCAATGGCTGCCCTCCGCACTGTCGCTGTCCTGCTGGTCGTCATGCTGTCCCTGGCCGCCGTGAGCGAGTCTCTTGTGCTGTGCCCGAGCTTCCCTGGCTGCTGCCGCTCCAGGAGTTGCCACGCCCTGTGCCCGTCGTGCAGGGAGGCCAGGAACTTCGTGAACGGGGTTCGCAAGAGGCCCAGCGGCCGCGTGCCTAGCATCAGCTTCATCGAGGGAGACCCATTCGCCTTCCCCAACTGCCGACATCTTCCCCAACCCGCTGATCTTCATCTAAGCTTGGACTCGGCTTCGGGTTTTGATGATTCGCAGGCGGAAAGGTCGGCTCTCGCGGGAGGGACCGTTTCGCGGCTGCGGCGTCAGCAAAAGCCGAGCTGGGCGACTTGTGGAGGCGCGAGAACTGGCTTTTTGGTTCGGTTTCTCGGTCTCTGTGAGTCGACTTCCCAGTTGGAGATTATTTCCTGTGGATTCTTTCTCTCTTTCATACCTTCCTCCTTGTTTCCTTATCGGTACACCTCTGATTTTAGCCTTTCAAACATTGCTTCATACCTTCCTCCTTATTTCCTCATCTCAGGATCATGGCTTTTAGTCTTTTAGATGCATTAGCATTGGTCCTTTGAATTCCGAGAAAGAATCCGTCAAGCCTAGTCAGTGAGGTTCCTCCGGGAACCTCATCTAGTCCTCAGGGATCTCGCCAAGGGGTCCGAAGCCAAAGATGTCGCGGCTCTCACCGTCGGGGGAAAGATAAGAACGCCGAGAGAAGAGTCTGCCAGACTGTCTCACGGATGGATGTCATGCTCAGTGCCATGCACATTCATTCATGCAGGTGAGGTAGTGAGACGCGGAGAGTCGAAATACCAGAGAGAAAAGTCGTTTCTGCTGTCTCTCTGTTTGACGATGCCCGTGCTCTGTGCCCTCCTGTCGTGCCAAGAAAACCCAGAAGAAGAATCTCCGGATTGTCTCCTGGATTGCTCCTTTGTTCCCGAAAATCGTGCTCCTTCCGGTGTCACTCGACAAACATTGTTGTTATTTATGTGTGGAGTGTGATTTGTGTGTATGACAAGTGGTCATACTTGATATTTGAATATGCGCATTATTACCAGTATTATCATCATTACATCAATTCTCATAAACATATTTTGACCGGTCAAATGATAAAATGTCTTATTATCCTTATTTTCATGCAGTATATATATGCATTATATATATACATAGACATGCATAGTATGTATACATATACACATATAAATTTCTCTATTTATGTCTCTTTCCACACACATCCATATACACACATACACATGTCTATATTATATATGTATATATATATGTATACATTTACGTACGCACACATATATACATACAAACGCACACATATACACACAAACACATTCATAAATTTATGTATATATGTATGTATATATACATTTATATACACATGCATATATATACATATATGTATATATATAATCTGTATACACACCCATATACATACATACATCTGTATATATACACAGATATATGTACATATATATCACATACCTACACACACACATATATATGAATGAATCTATGTATAGTTATATATAAATACATAAATGTGTATATAAATGTACATATATGCATATATATTTGTAAATGTACACTTGTACATTTATATACACGTACATATGTACACTTGTACATTTATATACACGTATATATGTACACTTGTACATTTATATATATATATGTATAAATGTACATATATATATCCATATATTTATGTATATATGCTAGTATATATGCACACACGCACACACACAAATATATATTTGTGTGTGTGTGTGTTTGTGTATATGTATGTTTGCCAATACAAAGACATATAGGTGTATATATACACACATATATACACTTTATCAAAGTAAGGCGACTTTACAGATTTCACTGGAAATATCCACGGCTGTTTAGTAAATCGATGTTTTTCTCTAAACTCAAAGTTACCTTTCTGATATCACTAACCTGTCATTCTTAAGCAAAACATAAAAAAGTCATAAAAAAGTAAATTATTTTTTTGGGAAGATAGTTTCTAATCAATTCAACATATTTATTCAGAGACCTATAAACTGTCACTTCTTTAGCACAAAACAGTTTTCTCGAAACTCAAAAATCATCTTCATTCTGAAAACAATACCGATATTCTCTCGATATTCTCGTCTTCGTGTTCTTTGGTTGTCATTTAAGTTACAGAAATCATTTAATCAATTTCACTCACTTTAATTTCACTCACGGTGAATCGTAAGTTGATATTATTTGGTTTCTCTCAGCACTTATATATGTATGTATATTATATATATATGTATATATACACGTATAGATATGTCTCTTTCTTTTCTGTCTTTGTCTCTTCGTCTCTTTTTCTTTTTCTTATCTGTCTGTCTGTCTCTCTCTGACTTTCATCTTCTCATTCTTTCTTCTCTGTCTGTTTTTTTTCTCTCTTTCCTTCCTCTTTTTATATTTCTGTCTCTGTCCTGTCTCTCTTCCTCTTTCTCTTGTAAGAAAGAGGGGTTGAGACTGATAGATAGGAGGATAGATATTGTAGTAAAAAAAGTATACAAACATGCATTCATACATATATACATGAGGAATGAGACAAAACTTGGATAGGTTGCAACGAAAAACATTTGACCAACACAGAGAAGAAGAGAGAAAGACAGATATATAGAAAGGAACAAACAGAAACACGTAGAGAAAAAGATGAAAAAAACGATGTGCATATATGTATACGTAGTGTGATAAAAACTTAAATACACAATACATTTTACAATACAAATTAGAGTCATGCTGACGAACCTCTCTTACCCAGGTATTATACGATTTTTATTTTGTATGTTAAATAAACAAATGGATAAATAAACAAACATATGTACCACTGTTCATATCTATATCTATACAAAAATACATACATGCATACACGCACATATATATTCATATATGACACATATATTCATATATGACACATATATTCATATATGACACATATATTCATATATGACACATATTCATATATGACACATATTCATATATAACATATATTCATATATGACACATATTCATATGACACATATATTCATATATGACACATTCATATATGACACATATATTCATATATGACATTCATATATGACATATTCATATATGACACATATTCATATATGACACATATATTCATATATGACATATATATTCATATATGTGTGTGTGTATGCATTTATGCGTACATGGATATATGTACAAAAAGAAAGCCAGAGAGAAAGAAAGAGATTGGGCAGCCTGATAACAAAGACAGAGCCAGAGAGACTCATCTGGCCAGCAAGCACAAGCGCCTTACTTATTCACACTCAACACACGAGCGAAGACCGACCCCGGGGCAAATGACGGAATGCAATGTCTCTGATAATCATTGAAATTCCACATGCGTTGCCTCCGGATAGACAAAGCAAGCAGGGTGGTTATGTACTATTCTTGTTCTTTTTTTTCCAGAGTAGCGTGACGTATAAATTACGGTGTATGTATATATATACATACCTACACACACATATACATCTATGATTCTATATATGTATAGTTGTATATGCGTATGCACAGTATATATATGTATATATATGTATATAAATACATATATATATCCTCAGGCACACACTCACATATACACACACAGACATATACATATATTCATGTATACATATATGTATATATTACATATGTATAAATGTACACTTGTACATTTATATGTGTATATATGCACACTTGTACATTTATATATGTGTACATATGTATATATATATATGCATATATATATATATATGTGTGTGTGTGCATATATATATATATATATATATATATATGTGTGCATATATATATATACATATGTGCATATATATGCTAATGTGTATGCAAAAACCCACGGCTGCTTATTAAATCGATTATTTTTCTCTGTACTCAAAGTTGCCTCTCTGATATCACTGACCTATCACTCTTAAGCAAAACATACTTTCATAAAAAGTAAATTAGCTTTTTGGGAAGATATAGTTTCTACTCAACTTATCTATTCAGAGACATATAAGCTGTCACTTCTTTTGCACTAAACAGTTTTCTCGAAACCCAAAAATCATCTTTTGAAAACTACCGATATTCTTTTGTGAAGCAGATAATCGTCTTCGTGTTCCTTGGTTGTCATTCAAGTCACACAAATCATAATTCATGAAACTCCAGGCAACTGTTAGATTTCGTTGTAAAATACGAATTAACTTTACCTTTATGACACAAAACCTTGCATATCTCATAACAGACTTTCATTTTTTTCTCACTAGATACTGGAAAACGATAGTATTTTTTAATCTTTGTGACTGGCATGGTTACTGTAAGCCCCTTCTTGGTTTTGGATTTCTGCAGTTCCTCAGCAGATTCCGTCGATGGCCTCCCCTTTTCCCTCCAGCGCTTTCTGTAGTAATCTACTATTTTCAGTTTGAAATATAGAAGAGACAGTTTAACCTTACTTGTAGTAGGGGTGGCATTTTGTTGTGGCATGATATGCCTTTGTATCCTCTCGCCTAAGAATTCCACCTTACTGTGGTTTGGTTCAAGTGCAGCTAATTTACTATGAAGTGTAATCCTTCTGTTATCATATCACTTCTCTGTCACTTCATCTCTTCCTTTCTCTTGATACTACCTCGACAAGACTTTCATTTCTGTACGATGTAACCTGCTGCTTTTATATCTGGTTGGGGCAGTATTTATGTCTTTGAATTTGTAAACTAAACCATCTATAGTTGACAAAAAAGGCGAACTTAGTTGTATATATATATATATATATATATATATATATATATATATATATATATATATATATATATATATATATATATATATATATATATAAGGACTACAGGGAAAGAGAGAAAAGTCACATGAAAAAAAATAATTACATGATTCTAAAACTGTTTTAAGTTCACTGACGATGATACTACTAGGTTTCTCTCAGCGCTTTTATATATGTATATATATTATATACATATATGTATATATATATATATATATAATATATATATATATATTATATATATATATATATATATTATATATATATATATATATATATTATATATATATATATTATATATATATATATTATATATATATATATATATATATAATATATATATATATAATATATATATATATATTATATATATATATATTATATATATATATATATTATATATATATATATAATATATATATATATAATATATATATATATATATAATATATATATATATATATATATATATATAATATATATATATATATATTATATATATATATATATATATAATATATATATATATATATATATATATAATATATATATATATATATAATATATATATATATAATATATATATATATAATATATATATATATATAATATATATATATATAATATATATATATATATAATATATATATATATATAATATATATATATATAATATATATATATATAATATATATATATATATTATATATATATATATATAATATATATATATATATATATTATATATATATATATATATTATATATATATATATATATATAATATATATATATATATATATTATATATATATATATATATATATATCTATATCTATACACAAGCACACATACATATTTACATATATATATGTGTGTGTATAAATTTATACGTACATGGATATATGTACAAAAAGAAAGCAAGAGAGAGAGTAAGAGATTGGGCAGCCTGATAGCAAAGATAGGGCCAGAAAGACTCATCTGGCCAGCAAGCAAAAGCGCCTTACTTATTTACACTCAACACACGAGCCAAGACTGACCCCGGGGCAAATGACGCAATGCATCTCTGATAAACATTGAAATTCCACATGGGTTGCCACCGGATAGACAAGGCAGGCAAGGTGGGTATGTGCTGTTCTTGTTGTTTTCATATTTTTCCAGAGAAGGGTGACGTAGGAAAGAAATTGCAGGAAGAAAAGACTTTTGGCAGGAAGTGTCCAAGATAACAGGAGCTGCCATCGCTCGCCACGCTTAGTGCTTATTTTCCAGTCGTTTTCCTTCGTATTACCTGTGTGGCATTTTGT